TTAAATAAATTACTTCCGAAATTTTTCCATTTCGCTCTTGAAATGATGAAGGTAATAAACAGATGCAAAATACGCTCGTTAACACCTGAAGGTAAATAATAAAAATCAGAAATATTCCAGTTTATAAAGAGAAAACATACCTGAATTTCCATATCGTTCAGCATTTATTCATAGTAACATGTCGAGTATAGTTCTTCTTTTCCTAAGGTGTGCTTTCTTATATAAAAAAATATAGTCCCACTCTCGATGAACTGATTCAATTGTCCTGGGTAAAAAACCATGCAAGTTCATTGTAACACTTAATTACAGATTAATTGACTGGTAAATGAATCAATTATCAGATCTCGTTATAGCTGAATAACAATGATTTTCATTCCAGACAAGGAAAGTGAAAATAGAAGTGAAATTAGATGATACCACTAGCGTCTTCAATAAAATTGTGAGAAAATCACACCATATTTATTTTGATATCGTTTCATTAAAAATCAAAATAGACCAGTTTTCAGTTACAAAATTGTTTTTTTAACTGAATTGAAAACTTTGTGTAATATGAGGCAATGATAAGAAGGTATTCAAAACCTAATAATTTTCTCTAAGGAAATAACTATGATAATAATAATAATAATAGACTCCAAACAGGGTGGGTCACTTTCAGAAGGGGTGTATTTCAGGGGACGATTCCCTCAGTCCCCTTTTCTTCTGCATCCTATTACTATTATCCGTTGCGCTCAGAAATACTCGAGGGTATAACTGTGGCACCCCCGGAAACCGGAGGCACAAGGTCACCCATTCGTTTGATATGGATGATCTTAAACTTTATGCCCCTGGAGAGAAGGATCTCCATCAGTCCTTGAGGGTGGTGGAAGAGTACACGCATGCTATTGGTATGAAATTCGGGATAGACAAATGTGCCATGATCCATCTCAAAAGAGAACGATGCAGGGACTACAGAGAGGATGTGCAGCTTGGAGATGGAAGCATACTACACGATCTGGATGCCGGAGAGACGTATACTTACCTCAGGGTGGAACAACGCCACTCACAAGAGGTAACAGCAGTGAAGAACTCTCTCCGCGGCAAGGATCAGCACAAACTTCCACAGATCTCGTCATCGGAACTGTCGGGAAAGAACAAAGTTGCAGCAACAAATGTGCCTGCCGTTCCAATCCTACTCTACTCGTTTGGAGTAGTGAAGTGGACTCAAAAGGAGCTGTATCAACTCGACGTGAAGACCCGAAAAATGATGCATATCTATAGAAGTTTGCATCCCAAATCGTACGTTCCACGGTTGTTCTTCTCTACATGGTCCGTGACCATGAGAGAGCAGTTTAGTTTTCGACACTGAACGAGGTGACCACAACTCTGTCACCGACTTGGAACCCGTTAAGTAAAAAGCTCATATAAAAGCCACAGAGATCACCGCACTTCTGCGGAAACACAAGGATAAGCCAATGCATGGGGTCTTCTTCAATAAGATCAAAGTGCCTAACTTCAGGAAGTGGGCTGAAGTTGGAAACTGAGGGGTTCATAATGGCTTGCCAGGATGGTGTCTTCAACACCTTAGTCTACGGCAGTCACGTGTGGGTATAGAGGTTCCTGACACACATTATAGGGCCTGCCGCGAGGCGCTCGAGACCCTAATGCACTTGCTATTAGCATGTCCAGCATATGCGGACATGCCTATATCCATCGACATAACGCGGCCCTAAGAGTGCTATATTAGCATCTACGGCACTCTTACGGTATTGACGAGACACATCGGTGTTGCCCTACGCTCCGGGGGGCATTGAATCCGTTGTGTGGAGCAAGAACTGCTGAATTCATAGGAACTATTCGTTTCCCACCCTCGCAGGCTTATGCAAGCTAATAAGCCTGATGTAGTCCTTCTCAACCACCAGAGTAAGACGATATTTGTCGTGGAGTTTTCAGCTCCTGGCGAGACAAATATCGTCAGAAAAGAGGAGGAAAAACGGATAAAATATCGAGATTTTTTCTTCGAACTCAAAAATAATATGTTTGGTTGACAAGTTGATGCAGTTGTACCTCCAAGAGCTCAGCAATGTTACTGAGAACTGAAATTGGCCTATAGTTGAAACGGTGCGATCCTGCGCCTTATGAAAACTAGAAACTGGAAAAACTGCCGTCTTTAGAATAAAATTGAAAATAATTTGTAGTGGATGTCCAATACAATCAAGCAGTCCTTTATCAGAAATGAAGTTGATTTGTTTTATAGTTTCTCACCAGCTTGTAAAATTTCAATTTCAGTAATAGGTTCAGTTCATGAACATACTACCTTGAATACTCGTAGTGTTATTTCTGTTATGAGCAAATGACCAGAACCAGGGCCGTCGCCATGGGGCGATGGGTGAGGGAGCCTCCCCCTCCTGCTTTTTCGACTTGGGAAAAAGTTGGGAAATTTTGGGCCGTGAAAATTGAAATCAATTGTTCTATTTTTACTTGTATTTTATTTCACTATTATTCCATTTCAGGTTTATTTTGGTTAATATAATTGTTATTTTCAGCTATTCATTTTAAATTCTTCTTTTTTAGTTGTTTCAGGTATTTCAAATCATTTTATATAGTAGACAATGGAAGTTCGAACTAGTGAAATTCATCATGAAACATTGTCAATCACCTTCAAACAAAATTATTATTATTAGATAGCTGACACTTAGAGGGAATAGAACATCAGAATATCATTTTATTAATGAAAGTATACGTATATTAGGAGTTCCCTTTGAATTGTCAGTACTCAAAGAATTTGTCGTTGGACCTCTCTCTATGAGGCAGATCAGTTGTTTCTCTTATACTCCAGAAAATATTCACAAAAGTGCATATATTCAAAGCATTATTTTTCTTCTTTTACAGACTGTCTTCCCAGCTCCCTGGTACAGGCCCAGGATTTGGATCATCCCCTCTCCCATCATCAGTTGGTCGTATTCCTGCAGCATATCTTAAAAGAGAAGTAAGCAGTAAATTCAGCAGCTCTTGACTAAATAACGTGTACCTGCTATGAAATATTTCTTATTTGGTGTATTTTGAATTATCGGTTGTTTCGAAGGTTTTGCCCGTTTTTATGAGTCTACTTTGAACAGTAATTTATTTGTGAATAATTATTCAACGTTACAGAAGTCGATTAATTCCGTTAGCATAAAAATTGGGGAGAGCTCAAAAATATGGCAGTCGATGGGCAGGAGGTCTGGGGAGTATGGTAACGACGCTCGATTCGTTCAATTTTCGGACGGTGTTTTATGAAACGTGCGCACGGGCGTTGTCGTAAAGCAGGATCGGACCTATTTTGTTGATCAGTGTCAGCTGCTGCTGACGCAATTTTTGACACATTTCGTCGATTTTCCTCACAAATGGACTCTGCTTTGATGGATTGGTCCAGTTGCAAAAAGTTATAGTGAATGTCGTCAGCCGCTAACCACTATATACTAACAATTTTTTTTCCATTGGGCTTTCGCTACAGAGGAGTGCCCGTGTCGCTTATCGGTATCCAACCACTGGCCTGAACGTCAAATCAAATAAAATCAAATTATGCTTTGTTACCCAAGATCTGAACATGTTATTGGCAGAGTCTGGTAAATTAAAACGTGTATATGGGACATTAAATTAACAAATATAGGCTATAAAATAATGCTCAGAGACAAGAGCAGAGTATATGGACAGATAGAAATATGAGTACATGAATATTGAGTGAATGTAAATATACAGGCTGATTCACGGTGGATGGCACATTAGAAGACTGGTAAATGAATCAATTATCAGATCTCGTTATAGCTGAATAACAATGATTTTCATTCGATGCAAGGAAAGTGAAAATAGAAGTGAAATTAGGTGTTACTACTATCGTCTTCAATAAAATT